AAAGACAATGCATCCTTTGCACACATACACAGAAACACACAATGCAAACCCTTACACACATGCAAAACACACACACTGCTTTTCTTACATACACACAGAAACACAATGCATCTCTTACACTCAATGCACACACATACAGACACACACCTTGCATCCCTTATGCATACAAACACAGATTCACACAATGCATCCCTTACACACAACCAGAAACACATAATACATCCCTTATACACAAATACACACTGCTTCCACTACACACAAACACACTACATCACCTGCACAAACTGGTAACCCCATACACTACATACCATAAGCACACATATTAGATCCTCTACAATAACACATAACACATCCCCTACACACTCCACTCCCTGTGAGCGAACTCATGGGTGGGTGGAACTTATGAGTGGGCCTTATGGGCATACTCACCATCAGGCCCTGGGGCCCAGACCTTGAGCTGTGTAAGGGGCCCCAAAAATGGAGCTGCTTCCAATTCTCCCAGAACATTGAATTTTGTGACCACAGTTGCAAACAGCCTCCAGAGATCCTGTTCTACACCAGACCAGTGGAGCCAAACTGCAGCCCATCATCATCCTCATCTGCTTGTAAGTAGGCAATCTAGTATATTATTAGTGACACTAATCTATAATGTACCTCACATTAAAGGGACACTATAGCTTAATGAAGTGGTTCTGGTGTCTATAGCTGGTCCCTGCAGGCTTTTTAATGTAAACACACACTGTGTGCAGCACTGGCGTTAGTTCATATGGGTGGGGCATTGTGATGTCACATGGGGGGGCAGCAAATTTTTATTTTGTCTAGGGCGGCAAAAATCCTTGCACCGGCACTGATCCTGGGCAGGTGCACCAGTCTACTGGTGACCCACAGGAGGGGAGTGCACTGATTGCACTGCACTCTCCTCCTGTCCAGCCCCATCTTTACCGCAGTGCAAATGCCCTCTGCCCCTAATTTACAGTGGCTCACACTCACAACAAGCAGTGCCTGGAGCCGTGAAGGAGCGGGTATGGCAAAGAGCTACTGATTAGCATAACATCAATATCCGTTATAAAACCAGGAAAAGGTGGGCATGGATGGTGAACTGATTTGGTGGTGCAATGGGCCACTTGACTGGTTTTGCCCCCCAGGCCTAAGGCTGCCAGCCCTCCCCTGATGGGTGGAGGCCTGCATTCATCTATACAGCTGAAAATGTAATATAGTAATGACAATAACAGTGGTAATAGTAAGAAACACAGGAAAGGAGCCAGTTTTCTAATGTTGATTTGTCTGCAGTTTAGTAGATGGCCTCCACATTTGGTTTTCCTTATGTTGGATTGCCATAAATAAGGA